AAGTCTGGTCCTTGTTAGAAAAGGAGGCAATTTGTGAAAACAATATTAAAAAGCCAAAATAATGTAATCAAACTCTTGGCCTTCAACATTAAGACAATCTGTGTTCAAAACAATATTTTAGGAACACAACCAGAGAAATAAATGCAGTGGTTGGGGGGAATCCCTGTAAAGCTTTAATTTTCCGACTAACAATTTGAGTCAGTAATGTTGATTTTTGTAACACATACAATCTTTCAAAGTTTTGCACACGTCTTTAAAGCTTGAAATTAACTCGTGCTCCTCTGTACAAGTCTTTATACCCGTGAGTTTTACCGTATGGCTGTGTGGGTGCTCCGTAGTGTCCGACTCTTTGTGGGCCCGTGGGCTGTAGCCCACCAGGCCCCTCTGTCCATGGAACTTTCCAGGCAAGCATACTGGAGTGGGTTGCCATTTCCTCCTCCAGGGGATCTTCCCAATACAGTATAATTGGTCTCTTTTTTTTCTCATCACATATCAGTTTCCCTCTGCCAAAAGACAGAGCTTTTACTTTCTTTCAGCAGACAATAGTTTATGATCATGACGTGTATTTTATGTATGTAATAATAAGAGAACAGTTCCTTTACTTGGGACATGTTTGCAATACAATATGAAGTGTTTGCAGGGCTGGATGTAAAGTTGTACATATATGAAGATGATTTTTTTGTGGAAATTCAAAGGGGAAAATGTGACAAAATTAGCAAAAATGAATCGGTGACCAGAGTGGATTTGTTTGCTTGCGTGTTTTGCCCTTTTTCTTATATCCCAAATGTTTTGTGATTTCATTTGTTTATGAAAAATGGACAAAAAAGCTAACAAAGAGAACATAACAAAATAATACAAAGTCTACTTCACTTCATCTTCACAAATATATTTTTGTTGGACTTTTTATTTAAGTAACTCATGGTTCACTGTGTGAACATGGAGTATTCAGAAAAAAAATATAAAAGAGGAAATTTAAAATTACTGTAATTCCAAAATCTAGATATAATCACTGTTAACATTTGGGTGTACTTACTTTAGATTTTAAAAGCATAATTATTTAATGTCATTGGAATCAGAGTATATGTAGAGTTTTTTCTTTATTTTTTACCCTTTGTTTCTATTTTTTTTAATTTGTATTTTTTATTTAAGTATCATTGATTTGCCATATCATGTTTTAGGTGTACTAGATTTTTTTCTCTTTTTCTTTAAACATCAGGAGCCTTCTCTGTGACATTACTCTTATCTCAAATATTATTTTTGGCGGGCGCTTAAAAGTCTTCACTGCGAATATCCTACCATATGTGCCATCAATCTCACTTTGTCATCATAAGCTGCTTTCTCTTTCTGGCTTTTGTAACTCATGCTATAATACTGCATTGGACATCACTGTACAAAAATTTTCACTTTTCTCCATGAGCTGAAGTCCTAGAAAGGAAATTGCTAGGTAGAAGGGTAAAAACATTTAAAATGTCCTTCTTATCTTTTTGAACTGCTAGACCAAAAGGTAGTTTAACTTAGACATCTGTGGGCATTGACAGTATTTTCCTTCTAAAAATGGTGATTTTTTTTTTTTTTCCATTTTGAAAAGGTAAAAAATGAGGCTTGTTCTTTTGATCCACATTTTTTTTTTACTACTAGTAAGTCTGTCTTTGCTATCTATGCTTTTGTTTGCCAGCAAACTGTGTTTTTCTTTTCTGTGAATTGTATATTCAAGTCCTTGGACCATGCTTTTCCCTGTTAAGATGCATTAATTTCTTATCAATTTTAATAGATTCTTCATAAACCAGAAATATTATTCCTTTAGTTATAATATTATGACCAATATATTCCCAGATTATTCTTTGGTTTTTAATTTTGTTCATTACCACGTTTGCACGTGCGTGTGTGTTCAGTTGCTTCAGTTGTGTCCAATTCTTTATGACCCCATGGACTGTAGCCCACCAGGCTCCTCTGTCCCTGGGATTCTGCAGGCAAGAATACTAGAGTGGTTGCCATGCCCTTCTCCAGGGGATCTTCCCCACCCAGTGATCAAACCCTTGTCTCCTGCGCCTTCTGCATGGCAGGTAGATTCTTTACCCCTGAGCTACCTGGGAAGTCCTATTACCACGCTTGGACTTGCATAAATTTGCATTGATTTTCCCTTTGTGATTTCCCCTGTGGCTTTTCATGTGTTAAAAACGAATCTCCATACTTACCTGAATGTTCCACCTGAATTTTTAAATGTCTTGCTTTTTTCTTTAAAAAAAGCCTTTAATTCATTTAGAACTATTTTGATGAATGGTATGAGACATAAAGGCTTTCCAGATGGCATAGTGGTAAAGAAGCCACCTGCCAACACAGAAGACGCAGGAGGCACAAGAGACACCAGTTTGATCCCTGGGTTGGGAAGATTCTCTGGAGAAGGAAATGGCAACCCATTCCAATAGCTTTGCTTGGGAAATTCATGGACAGAGGAGCCTAGCGGGCTACAGTCTATGGAGTCACAAAGAGTCAGACAGGGCTGAGTGATTGAGTACATGAGATATAAATGGAACTTGACTTTTCCCAGACAACAAGTTTTCCCATTTTGGTGATTGATGAATATCCCTTTCCCCCATTAATTCGTGGTGCTTTTCATCCTGTGGGAAGGTTTTATGTTTCCTGAGTTCCCTTCCAGGTCATTCCATCCCTATTTCATTCATCTGTCTATTCTTGAACAAACATGCTACAATATTTTTATGGATACTATTGTTTAGTCACTAAGTTGTGCCTGACTCTGTGCAACCCTATGGACTGCAGCCCTCCAGGCCCCTCTGTCCATGGGACTGATTTCCCAGGCAAGAATCCTGGAGTGGGTTGCCATTTCCTTCTCCAGGGGATCCTCCTGGCTCAGGGACAGAACCCATGTCTCCTGCATTGGCAGGTGGGTTCTTTACCACTGAGCCACCTGGGAAGCCATACTTTTATGGAGACTTTCTTTTTTTACATCAGGTATAGCAAGTCCCCCATATCATTCTCTCTTTCAAAAGCATCTTAGTTATTCTTATCAAGTTGTTCATCCAGATGAAATTTATTCATTTATTATTTTAATTTTTTATCGCTTTGGCTGCACTGGGTCTTTGTTGTGGCTCAAGGGTTTTGTTGATCCATGGCATATGGGATCTTAGTTCCCTGACCAGGGATTGAACCTGCATCCTCTGTGTTGGAAGGTGGATTCTTAACCACTGGACCACCAGGGGAGTTCCCAGATAGAATTTAGAGTTTGACACATTTCCCCCAGATCATGTGGAAACTGGGGTTGCATTTCTTTCTGTCTTGGGTGGCGGGGTAGTTATCCTTGCATAGGTTCTGCTCAGATCTTATTTCTAAGAAATTTATTGTGACCATGGTAAAATGGATTTCCTGAGTATCCCTGCTCAGACCACGACTAATTATTGTTAGAATAACAAAAAGCAAGTGATTTTTTTTTTGGTGATTGAACTGCAGAGCTACTTACTGAACTGTATTATGAATTCTGAGTGGGTCTTACATGCTTATTTTGGAATTTCTAGATGGACCACCACACCTACATATAATGACACTTTGTTGTCTTTTTTCCCCAGAGATAGTTAAGACTTCTTGCTCAATTTTATTGCACTGATTAGGTCTACCAGCTATGTTCAAAGCATTCTTGTTTTACTCCTGATTTTAATGGTAAAGCTTTTGGTAATTCATATCTGTGTTCCACTGTGGCTGATAGTTTGACATACCTTTAAAAACTGTGTCCAGGAAGCACATGCCACGGAAATGACAAATGGGAGGACTAACACTAGAAGCTATTTTTTTTTTTAAGGGGGGGATGTCTTCAGCTGGAGAGAGGGCTCTGGGGGCTGCTAATTACAAATCATTTTGTTCTGATTCTTGCCTCTCTGCCTGAATTGTGAATAGCTCTACTTTTACTTGTAGCTCAGCTGGTAAAGAATCCGCTTGCAATGTGGGAGACCTGGGTTCGATCCCTGGGTTGGGAAGAGCCCCTGGAGAAGGAACGGCTACCCAATCCAGTATTCCGGCCTGGAGAACTCATAGTCTATGGGGTTGCAAAGAGTTGGACATGACTGAGCCACTTTCACTCACTGCTTTTACTGGGGCTTCCCTGGTGGCTCAGATGGTCAAGAAACTGCCTGCAATGCAGGAGACCCAGGTTCGATCCCTGGATTGGGAAGATTTCCCTGGAGAAGGCAATACCAACCCACTCCAATATTCTTGCCTGGAGAATTCCATGGACAGAGGAGCCTGGTAGTCTACGGTCCATGGGGTGGCAAAGAAACACGACTGAGCGACCAACACTTTCACTTTGTTTCTGCTTTTGCTTTAAAAACAACCGCAAGAATAAAAACACAAACACTTTTATTTCTAGTTTTCAAAGAACTCTAAAGTTTTTTAAACGGATGCCAACAGTTATTCATTGAGTGTTAAGAGGACCTAGGCTGTTCCTTTCACCTGCTGCTGTTTCAGATTCCCCGGGGGTCTGGTCAGCCCTGCGTTGTTTCTCGAACAAACAAAAGCCCAAAGGCCCTGGAATACTGTTATCGTGGATTCAGTGGTCTTTTAGGCGGGGGTCTCAAGTCTGACTTGGTCCTGGAGGGTGGCCCTTGGCTGTGGATCGGGGTCGGCAGGGGACCGGGCCACTCTTCTCTGGGTACTGTCTCCATTCCGCGAATTGCATTTCCTGGAACTTTTCCCCCCTCAAACCCCACGGGCCCAGAGCCTCTTAGCCAGAGTTCCAGGAGGCGTTTGGTTCTTTGATAAATTTTCTTTCCCTGGTCCTTTCTGAGCCGCTGTTGGCAGTTCGGTGGCCTCTGCCTGGTTTTGGGAAAGTGAGATCATGGGTCAGCCCGGCGTAGCCAGGTAGATGCTCCAGGCGGGGACAGACCGACCAGCTCGCAGCCCGAGCCGAGAGGCGGGGCAAGGGGCCTCGGGGCGGTCGTTACCCGGCCTGCCCCGCGCGGCCGCCCTCGGAAGTGAACTCGGCGTCGCGAGTGGCCGGGGTTTCCGCGCGGTGTGGCCTCGCGTGTCCGCGGCTCCATCGCGGGGCGGCGGAGCCCGACGGGCGGGGGCTGGTCGGCGGCCGCCATGGCCGGGGAGCAGGACTTGTTAGACGCTGTCGTGATGGCAGATGAGAGGTGGGTGGGTCGGGGCCCCCCGCCCTGGCGTGTTGGCTCTCAGCCTTGGGGTGCGGCCCTGCGGGAGCGCCCTGAAGCCGCAGAGGCGGCCGGCGCGGGAGGGCCCAGGATGCTGTTACTTCCCCTTTACTCGTCGGCTTCTCGGGCTAGCGCCAGGCACCCAGCTGCTCCTCCGGGGCTGCCTCCATGCATCTGCTCGGCCTCGTGACTGCCTCCCTCCATAGACGCCCAGTCCTCGGGTGGGGCGGACCTCTGCCATCTGGGCGCTGCCCACCTCTTTCTTGTTCCTCAGTGGTGGACAGACGGCCGTATTCACGGACAGGCTCATCTAGGTGTCAGGCGTCATCCTTTTCCCTCCTCAGCCCCTGGGCAGCGCCTAGGGGCTATGACAAGGAGCGGGGCTCTTGGCTGCTTTGATGGCCGTCTTCCAGTGCCTGGCCCGCTTGAGACATCGATAGACGACCGTGAGAAAGAGGGAGCTGTAAGCGATCAGTCGCTGACAGTTCATTTGGAACTTGCTGTGAGCTGCATGCTGAACTAAGCCTTGTACCCCCGTTATCTATTTTATCCCTACTTGTGAACTAGATCCCGTCTTTGAGATGGGGAGGCAAGGTCACTCCCAGGGCGGGAGCCAGGATAAGTGGGAGTGACACACTTGGCCTCACCGGGGGCTCCAGCCTGCCCCTTTCACTTTGGTGGCCCGTGGGTTGTGCTGGTGACAGTTCCACTGCCGGCCCCTGTAAGTCAGAGCCTTTATTCTCCCGCAGTCTCTGCAGGCATGGTACGCTTTGCAGTGACCTGATGGCACTTCTCCCTGCCTGGCTCCTGAGGTGTGATGGAAAGCCTGGTGCAGACAGCAGTTTCCTTTGTCTGTTTGTTTTGAAGCAAACAGTCTAGCTTACAGACTCACAGAACTGGGGTTGCTGACTAAGTCACTGGGGAGATTTGAAAAAGCAGGTTCCTGAGCTTTACTGAACATGAGGGGCGAGGCTCCTGAATTTGTATCTTTGGGATTTTCCTGTTGTTTCCAGTATTCTGCCCAGTTTGGGAGTCCCTGATTCAGCCTGGCTTCCTCATTGTGGAAGAGCTGAATTTGGCTTCAAGGCACACAGCAGCTTGAGAAGCAGAGGCTTCAGGAGCGGCGGAGCTGACATTGGACCTAAGCTTTATGGCTCAGCTTCTTTTGTTTTCTGTGATACTAGGTCTCGTCTTGCAGTCTGGGTCGCGTGGAGGAGAAGAATTTTTCCAGGAAGAATCCTCGTTCTCCTGTTTATTTACTCAGTCTTGCTGCTTCTCCATCGCAGGTTTCACAGGGAAGGGTACCGGGAAGGCTATGAAGAAGGAAGCAGTCTGGGTATGATTGAAGGGAGACAGCACGGCACGCTCCATGGAGCTAAAGTCGGATCTGAAGTGAGTGGGGACCCCCCCCCCCCCGCCACTTAGAAAGGAGTCCTGTTCTTTTACTGTTGACAGTTTACCTTGATGGTCGGTATGATCAAGCCACAGAAGCCACAGTTTCAGGCCTCTTAAAGTGGCAGTAGGCCAGATAGAATGTGATGGATTCATATCCTAGGGCAGAGCCTGCAGAGCATGTGGCTGTGTGGCGATGACGCAGTCGGGTGGGCTGGAGGAAAACAAGTCCCCCGTCACCTCAGTGGATGTCAGGCCTCCTGCAGAGAGTGAGCGCCCTGTGTCGTGTGACAGCATGCCATTTGTATTCACACTGGAATTCCATAAAGTCCCCGATTTTCCTTTTCTCCTGCCTTTTGTGCTGGATAGGCCCTCACTTCCAGGTAACTGGCCATAAACAGCCAAGTCAGAGGCCATCAGAACTGTATTAGGCATCTTCGGCTTCAAAGCAAATCAGCACAAGCCACGTGGCCTTAAGACAACCAGTGTTACTCATTTGACAGAGGTCCTGGGGGTCCGTGGTCCAGGAGCAGCTGAACCAGCTGGTTCTGGCTCAGGGCATTGATGCTGGAGCTAAGAGTCAGCCAGGGCTGCCAGCCACTCGAAGGCTTGCCTGGGGCCAGAAGAGGTGCTTCTCAGGTGGCCCGCTCCCTCGGCCGTCTTCAGCGCGTGGACGTCTCCATAGGGCCGCCCGAGTGTCCTCCTGACCCTGTGTGGATGGCCCAGGTGGGCAGGGCAGAGCTGACATGGCCTGTTAACACCTAAACCCAGAGGTCACATGCTGCCTCCTCTTCTGTGTTCTGCTCATCATGGCCACCCGATACAGTCGGGAGACCTCGCAGGCACACGTACCAGCGGAGCGGGGAGCTGGGGCCCAGTGGGCCACCTTGGAGGCTGGCTGTCCCGCTGATGACTTGACCTCTGACTTCCATTTCCTGCTCCAGGACAGTACGAGAAGAACGCCCTTGCGCCCCCTCCTGCCCTCCGCCACCTTAGTTTTGAGAGCCTGATAATTAGATCACATACAGCGCTCGGTTACTCATCACACTCTTAAATGTCTCGTCAATTCACAGATCGGGTGCTACCGAGGCTTCGCGTTGGCTTGGAGAGGCCTCCTGCACGGTCGCGCCACTGAGAGAGACAGGTAGAGCTGAGCCTCCTTCCTTCTTCTGCGTTGGGGCCGGAGTTGCAGCTCCATGGTGCACCCTGATCTCGGGTGGTTAGAGTCCCCGTCTCCTCGTCTGTAGCACGGAGAAGATAATCGGGCTGAAGGAACCTCACGAAATTGTTACGAGGTTTACAGGAAATAGTACCTGGAAGGTGCTGGGCCCGTTTTGGGTGTTGGATGAACACCTACTGTTTTCCCAAGAGTCCTCTGATCTCCCCCGCCTTTTCCCTGGAGGCCTCCAAGCATTCGGTGACGTTCAGCGGCCCTGCCAGTCAAGGCGGGTTGGAAACGATTTCATCTTCTCGTTTCCCCTGAGCTTTTGATAAACGGAGCACAGTAGTCTGGGTGTGATCCAGGCTCAGAAATGGTGACTCCGTCGTCACCGGGACTTTTAATGTAGCCAGAAGGTCCATGTGTTTTGCCGTATCAGCCTGGAAGCACTAAGGAGCCTTTAGCTATCCTCTGTAGCGTTTGTAGCCTTCTGAACCTGTTCTTGCGGGGTGCCGCTTCCCGAAGCCCCGGGACCGTGTCCCCACCTGCGGTCTTCACCCTTCACCCTTCCGTGCGAGTCTGTCCTGCTGCTCAGGGGAGTGGACGTGGGGCTTCAGTGGCTGCTCTGCGTCATTCGGATGCCCGGTGGCTTTGCCTGGCCGGGAAGAGGCTCCAGGAGTGTGAGTGACAGAGTGCAGAAGCTGGCATTCCCCCGTCCATGTGACTTGTCATTTGGAATGTTCTGAATTTCTAGAATTTGTGTCACCACCATATTCACCTGTCGGAGCAGGGATACTCGAGACAGAGTCTGGGTGATCCTGGGGTCGCTGCTGTCTGAGCTGTCCCATCACTGAGCAAGTGGGAGCTGACCAGACTCGTCTGTCATGCAAGGCCACCTCTAGGGGGTTTTCCTCTAAAGACCCAGCGGGGTGGCGGGGTAACCAATGATCTGGTTGGGACGGTGGGTGGCGGCCCTGGGGGCGGTCAGGGCTGAAGGTGCCTCTGCACTCCCGGTCCCGAAGGTGGGCGGGACGCACCTGGAATGGAATTCCCCAGTAGCCTCCGCTCTCCTTGCGCTGGTGTCTGCAGCTCACGGAGGGCATTCAGGTTCCTGTACCTGGGGGTTGCCAACTCACACCCGGGGCAGGGGGCCCCCCTGTCCTAGAGCCGTGCCCCCAGGCTCCATCAGACGGAGGGTCGCGTGGGTTGTGTCAGGGCTGGTGGGAGCCCTGCTGCCCCCACCCCACCAGCAGAGCCTGGTGGTGTTGAACCGCAGCCTAAACCCCTTTATCTTAGAGGAGTGATTTTTGGATTTTCTGAGTCTCTATAGTTTTTTAAAAAAAGATAGAAGGCGGGCAGAGGCCCTTCCGCTGCTTTATGTTCCAAGTAATGATGTTAAAAGAGAAACGCCAGCCCTGGATGTCCTCACTCAGTGAAGCCGGGGACTCTTCACCCTGGAGAAGGTGGTGGGAGCCTGTCTCAGCCTGCAGGATGGGGTGTCCAGTGGGTGACCCTGGCTCTCTGACCCTCCCCGAGATGCCCCTGCCCTCCCGCAGGCCGGTGGAGCCCCGTTTTCCTTACTGGAGCCTTGAGCGGGCCACACCCCCGGGGCGTGCACCAGCCTTGACCGTTCACTGGGCTGAGTGCATCTGGTGCAGCTGCGGTGACCGGCTGTCGGGCGGGGCTGCTCGCGGAATTGAGAGTGGGCGGTGGTCCCCGCGTCCAGACACGCACAGCCGTCCCCACGTGTGGGCACCTGCCTTCCATCTGCTGGAGACTGAGTGCCTCGGCGCTTTCCTTCGCTCGCTGTGATGCTACGCGGTTGTGTTTTCCCCGAGAGGCAGCTGTTGCAATTCTGTAAACTGGTTTAAGAGCAGCAAATGTGAGCGGTCCTGGTCGCTTTGAATGGCTGTCGCTTCATCCCAAGGATGAGTCCTTCGAGATTCCCTGGAACAGATACTAGTATGCTCCTGACGCCCGGTGATCGAAGGTGGGCAGGGTCGCTTGCCCGTGACCCAGAAGGGCGCCTGCCCTCCCCAGTAGGAGCCCTGGCCTCCAGGGTGTGGTGGAGACTGACGGTTACTCAGCGCTGTTCTGTGACAGGTCCTGGGCTTTCTCTGAATTACTGATCCTCCTGAGCTTGGGAGGTGGCCGTCAGGGCCCCATTTTACAGATGAGGATGCCGAGGCCCAGAGCCGTGAAGTCCCTGAGTTCCTTAGGGCGATCCTGCTCAAGGCTGAGCCCCTCGTCTTTCTGGGGAAGGGGGCTGAACTCAGATAGCAGACACTGTGGATGGAGCAGGCTTGGTGTTTACCTGCTGTTAAACTCCCCGAGGGCCTGAGTGTGAAGGTTCTAGATCCGAGAAACCCCCCAGATGGGAACAGGCGTGGCCATGCCCTGCGCTCTTTCCTTCTGGTCCTGTGCTCCGGGGTCAGGCCTGGGGACTGGTGACCTGGGTGCTCGTCGCGTCGCCTCGACCACTGGTCCAGGCCGCAGCCAGCCCGGCGAGGGCGGTTCTCACTTGACGTCGGGTGCAGGGGTGGGCAGGCGCCCGTTGCCAGGTGAGGGAAGGTTGTTGAGTGATGACTGAGTTAGCCGCCAGCTCCTGAACCCCGGCGTGCTCAGCACCACTGCCTTGAGGAGCGCGTCTGGCGCCTGGCTGCATAGGCCGAGCCTGCCGTGCCGGGGACTGAAGGTCTTTCTTTCTGTGTCTTACAGCAAAAAGATGAAGGTCTTAGAGGCATTGATTGGGATGATTCAGAAGTTCCCTTACGACGACCCTACTTACGACAGACTTCACGAAGACTTAGACAGAATTAGAGGGAAGTTTAAGCAGGTTTGTGTCCCGGGTGTTTCTTGCTGATCGGGGTGCCTGTCTTAGACGTGGCTAGGTGCCCCGGGGCCCCCTTTGCTAACAGTTTTGGGGCCACCCATGCCGTGTCTTTGGTCCATAAAGCAAGTTCTCATGTACCTTGATGTGAGGAAACCAGATCCATCTGGGGAGCAGGTGCGAGGACCCCGTGGAGGGTGGTGGCCTCGAAAGAGAAGTCTGCACTCATCTAAAAAGCCACCTTTTTCCTCTTGTGTTTCCAGTTTTGTTCATTACTGAACGTTCAGCCCGACTTTAAAATCAGCACGGAAGGTTCTGGACTTTCATTCTGAGGACGACAGATGAACAAAGACAGGACATCAAGGAGCAGATGTTCGTGTGTTGAGTGTTGAAAAATGTGATTAAAGGCATTCAGTGAGGAGGATTCATCGTTTTGCAGGGTCGGTTCCAGTCTGGCCGGTGAAACGGCCCCGTTCCCTGAGGTCCCCCTGCGTGGCCTCCGTCCCCCACCCTCCAGGGGCCCCTCCGCACAAGCCCGTCCCTGGTCAGGTCCTGTCTGCCCCGCAGTCTGGGCGCGGCCCTGGTAGAGACCTCAAAGGCTGCTCATCTCCGCTCCAGGGTCCAGGCCGCCAACTCATGGGTCCCCGCCATCTATCTGGCAGGCCTGGCTGGATCCAGACCTGGCTCTGGATGGAAGAGACACCCCTGTTACTCCCTAGGCCTTGGTCAGTGCTCAGAGGGGCCGTTTTTTAAAAATGAGGAGACAGGGTTGGCTCTGGAGGAGTGATGGGTACTGTGGCGTGTACTGAGCCTCGAGATGTGCCAGTGCTTTGGGACCTGCTCCTGGTGTTTTATTTCATCCCTTCGGGAGCCCACGAGGTGGGCATTATGCACGGTTTATAGAGGAACCCGAGGCCTGAGAGACTGCCCCATCCAAGGGCTGGGACTCTGGCCGTGGCATTCACCGTGTCTCCTGGTACCCGGCCTGGGACACACGCCCGCACCCACAGTCCGCGCTGTGCTCATCGCCTCCTGTGCCCTGGACGTGGGCATCCGGCTGAGAGGAGGAGAGGCCGGCCCTGTCCCTGGGGAGCCAGGACACCTCCGTGGACGCGAGCATCCGGCGGAGAGGAGGAGAGGCCAGCCTTGTCCCCAGAAGCCGGGACGTGCCCTTCCACGTCCCTGGGTGCGGGGAGGTACCCTGCCGTTAAGAACGGTCCCGGGGGGAGATCTGAAGGCCGCTGCTCCGCCTGCAGACACCTTGGGGTCGCTGCGAGTCCACTCCAGCTTTTACAATCCTCCCAGAGCATTTGGGTGCGCTCTGCTCCTCTGGCAGCTGCTGAGGGTCCCTGCGGGGCCTGGACGTTCGGCTGGCCGGGCGCCGAGGAGGGAGGCACGGCTTCTCGAGGCTGGTGGACACACTGCGGCTCTGCCCAGCTCGCCATCCGCGCGTCTCGCCGTGTGTTCCTGGCCTGCAGCCTCTTAGCTCTGGGTGGGCTGGGCCTCAGCCCGCCGTCGTCACAGAGACCGCCAGCTCATCTCCGTCCAGCGGGGTAGAGGGCGCTGTTGTGTTCCTGGGCAGAATTTTGTGTTTCCTTGGATAATGTATTATTTTTATAATTAGAGAAAAAAAAATAAACAGCATATTTTAAAGCCCAAGTCTGGTTGGGACCTTTCTGATGTGACTTCTAGTGAATTTGTTCCTTCTTCCATGGTATTTGGGGGGGGAGGAACCAGGGTCGCACGGGGCAGCCCCCTCTTGCGTTTGTGTCCGGCTTTAGTTAATCACGTGGAGGCGGCTTCTGTAGGAGGGCGGTCTTGCTGCCGCCAGCCCCCAGCCCCTCGCATGCGTCCCCGCTGCCCCCTTGCCCTCCTGCCCCGTCTTGGCCTCTCCGTGGCCCCGTGTCAGGCAGACCCGCAGCAGCCCGTTCCTCTCCCCCATCCCGAGGGGCTCAGCTGCCTTGTCACTGTCTTCAGGGCCCCTAGACCCTGAGCTTGCCCTGTGGCCGCCCGGCTCTTTCCTCGAGAGCCGATACCCCATGGCCGGGAACCCTCGGTCACCGGAGAGGCGTCCTGGATCGTACAAACAGTCCCTGCCCCATTGCTCGCACTCTGACCCCACAATGCCGCCTCCAGCCATGGAGTCCAGAAAGCTTGCTCTTCTGGGTGATGAGATGGTGGAGGACGCTGGGGGGCTTCCGGGGAAGGTCACCTCACTCTTGAGGAGACGGGATCTCTTTTGGAAGTTGTCCCATGGGGATGTGATACCAGACTTTTGACGGGCAGGTCCTGATGGAGCCACCCCTGTGCCTGGCAGGGCCGAGCCAGGAGGACCCCCTGACCTGATGTTGTCACGAGGAGCTGTGCCAACCAGCCCCCGAGGTGCCCACTGGCCGACTTCGAGTTCCAGGAGCCTCGTGCATGCCCTGCTCTGGGCTTCCCGGGTGGTGCCAATGGTATAAAGAATCTGCCTGGTGATACAGGAGACGCGAGAGACGTGGGTTTGATCCCCGGGTCGGGAAGGTTCCCCTGGAGTAGGAAATGGCGCCCCGCCCCTGTCTTTCTTGCCTGGGAAATTCCATGCCTCTGCAGTCGGGTTTCCATGCCTTGCTCACCATCTGCCACATCCCGTCCCATCTCTTCCTGTCCACCTGACCCTTAGGTTTCACCAAGGGTTCACCCCCTCTCTGGGGGGCTCAGGTTTCCCAAGGCCTGCTCACCCTTGCCCCATTGGAAATCCCCTGGCGTGTTCTGTGTCGCGTTACCAGTCAGCCAGGACTGCCACAGCAAATGCCCCACACCGGGAGCCTTTAACAGATATCTGCTGTCTCCCAGTCGAGGCTGGAATCCAAGACCCAGGTGTTGGCAGGGCTGGTCCATCCTGAGGCCTCTCTCCGGGGCATGCAGATGGCTGTCTCCTCCCCATGTGCTCACGTGGGCGTCCTGTGTTCTTCAGGATTGCAGCCCTGCTGGGTCCGGGTCTACCTTGATGACATCTTCAAAGTTCCCATCTCCAGATACAGTCACATTCTGAGGTCCTGGGGATCCATTCTCCACCATGAATGTTGGTTGGGGCATCATTCAGCCCATAAGATCCACCCTGTCTGGCTGCCTGGACAGACTTAACTTGGAAGAGAAGAACGCCATTCCACTTAAAAGTTGAAGTTACTCCGTTTGGTTTTTCTTGAACATTATAGTTGGGAATAAGCAGACTAATCTACCTTCCAGCTGAACTTATCCTTTGGGGCTACGCTCTCAGGCACTGTGATGGCTGAAGGGTTTTGCACCCACCCGAGGTGGGATTGCAGCCCGCCACACTTAGTTATTTCACCTTTAGCCCGTTGTGTTTCTCCACCCAGTGGTGAGGAGAGAATGGAGGGATCTGGGGGACGGAAGAGAAGTCTCAACTTATCCGTGTGGCTGCCCGGGGCCGCCTTGACCTTCCTCAGATCCCTGAAGCGTCCACAAAGCCTGCAAGGTGGGGCAACTGTCCCCCCTGGCCCCCCACCCCCCTGCAGATGGAGGCGTGGGGCACCCAGTTGAGCTGAGTGACGAACCCGACGGCTGTAGTAAGTGGCCAGACTCAGGCCTCACTGAGCACAGCAGGGATCGGGCGGTCTGCACTAGTTACTCTTAGCCAGAACAGAGCCTCATTTTCCTGATAACTCACAGTCTGTCTGTGTGACCAGTCTTGCATCTAGCTGACTGGGGTGGAGGCGGACGGATTTATGGGACGGCACCCGCGCTGGCTGTGGCCGTAGAGGCGGGAACGGGACGGACCAGCACCTGCGCCCAACCCTGTAAGCAGTGCTCACGGAGTATGGGTGGGGAGCCTGGAAGTGTGTGTATGCGGGGTGCTGTGTTCAGCTCCGCCTGGGGAATAAGGGAGTGGCAAGGAGGGCAGGAAGGCTTCCTGGAGGAGGTGACCTTGGCACGGCTCACTTTGGGAGCTTTCGTTTGAGCTCAGCACCCCGGAAAGTGTCTCTTCCACCCTACGTGGGGACACCCTGTAGTTTGGAGAGTCAAAACCTGCAAGTTAACAGGCAAGTTGGTCCCAATTCCACAGTTATTCCAGTCCTTAGTGAGTGAAGTGAGGAACTGGTCTGCAGCCCAGGAAACGAGTCCCCAAGTGAGTCTGATCAAGCAGAGCAAAGCGGGCGCTGTGTTCAGTTCCCCAGGACGTGAGTGGCGTGCAGATGCCGGGCCGGGACCCCAGGGCGACAGGGTCCTGTCTGCGCCACCAGGACTAAAGGGATCAGTGGGGACTTCACTGTTCCAAGAAGGACAGTCGCTTCTTGCCTGCAGCCCTGATGGTGACTGCACTCCTCACCTGAGTCCAGGCCCTGGCTGGTCAGTCCCTGGAGGTCCCCGTGATCAGATTGGCTGGGCTGTGGGTCACCGGGGTTGTAGTGACACCTGAACGTGATCCTGTCTCTGCCGACTAAAGAGTGGGATGGAGCGGGGAACCCCTCACTCCGGTAAACAGCCACGGAACTGAAGACTTGGTGGCGGATGTCTCCGCCCTTTCAGCCAGGATTTACTGAACTTTCGTTTTACTCCGTGGACATGAACCCTTGAGATCATGGGGTGCTCCACGAATGTGCCCCCTAGCTCTTAAGAGCTCAAACACATCTGCTGGGTTGAGCTGTGTCCCCTAAAAGACACGAGAACATTCCAGCCCCTGGCACCTGGGAATGGGACCTTCTTTGGAAATAGGTCGAAAACATGCAGAGCATGGAGCAGTTAAGCTCTGAAAATGCCGGGAAGGCCACATCAGACGAACTCCAACGGTAAGGAACAGTCCTGGGCTCCCGGAACAAAGGGGCTGGCTCGATCCAGCAGCTTTCCTGGAGGCCTGGCCCCCTCCTGCTCTCCTGCCTGACCAAGCTTGCGCTCAGGCTCCACTCCGTGGCTGAAGCTCCCTGGGGCGCCCCCCACGAGGCAGCGGAAGGGCCGTGCCAACCCCCGGAGCCATAAGGATCAGGGTGGAGGACTCTCTTTGCCAGAAGCTCCAGAAAAATCTCTCCCCGGAATCTCGCTGGCTGTTAAATTTCACATCTACCCTGAACCTGCCACTCTTCCCAGGGGGCAGGTGTGCCGTAGGCTCTGAGCCCCTCAGCACCTATCCTGGAGCCGGGGAGGGGGTCAGTCCCCCCAGAGCCACGGAGCTGAGAATGGTGCTTCCCACTGAGCAAAGTCTGAGGGCTGGCAACAGCAAGAGCGAGGCATGGAGGCCAGGACCTGCGGGGGAGGGTAATGAGCAGGCCTTGACCGCCCTCGGGGACCAGTGCGGCCTCCTTGCTCAGCTGGACACCGCATGGGGTGACGGCGGTGGCCCTGGCGGGACAGGGACAGTTACTGAGTGAGGCCCGTGCAGCAGGTGTGTGCTCAGGGCCACATGGACCTCGAGTCATTGGTCCCCCCGTCACCCCTGGAGGCGGGCACCAAAGACAGCCCCGCTTGCTTCCCTGCTGGGCGTGTCACAGACGTTAGCATGCGTTCCTGGAGCCTCCATTCCTATAGACAGGACTGTTGCCAGCTTGCTTTCTTTCTGCTTTTTTTCAAAATTTTGGCTTTGCTGGATCTTTGTTGCCGTGTATGGGCTTCTATTAATAGCTGTGTGTTGAGGGCACAGCAGTTACAGCACACAGGTTTAGTTGCTACAAGGCATGTGGGATCTTAGCTCCCCGATCAGGGTCGGACCCATGTGTCCTGCACTGGAAGGAAGACTCTTAACCACTGGACTACCAGGGAAGTCCCACGGCAATCCCCATCTTCTGGGTAAGAAATCCAGGCCCAGAAGGAGAAGCCGCACAGCCTGGAAGCTGCAGAACTGACATCCACCTCCTGGATCTTTTCCTCTGAACGGGCTCATGTGGCAGAGGGTGTGTCTTTCAAACAAGCACTGACCACATCAGATGCCACTGCTAGCACGCCTGGCCTCCATTCTCCAGGCCCACTCACCAAGATCCTACGCTGACCACAGGGACCGCTGACTAGAAGCCTTGGATGTGGGTGGACCTGACCCTGACCCTTGGGCCTCTGGGCACATCAGGGCCCCGAGTGGATGCACTAAGCGTAGGGCGGTGGTTGTTCAGTCGCTCAGTCGTGTCTGACTCTGCGACCCCATGGACTGCCGCACGCCAGCCTTCCCTATTCTTCACCACCTCCCAGAGTTTGCCCAAACTCCTGTCCATCAAGTCGGTGATGCCATCCAGCCATCTCATCCTCTGTCGTCCCCTTCTCCTCCTGCCTTCAGTCTTCCCCAGCATCAGGGTCTTCTCCAATGAGTCGGCTCTTCCCGTCAGGTGGCCAGAGTATTGGAGCTTCAGGCTCAGCAAGTTCTTCCCATGAATATTCAGGGTTGATTTCCTTTAGGAATGGCCTTGGGTGAAAATACGCAAATGAAGGCCTCATGAATTTTCTTCCAGCGCATCTTTGAAGACCTTGTGTCCTCAGCAGGGCAGCCAGGCTGACCGATGGGGGAGGGGGCTGCGGTGCAGGCCCCAGAGACACAAACCCAGCCACGGGCCTGGCCCCGTCACTTCCCCGCTGTGTGGTCCCGGCTCAGTGGCTTCACCTTTCTGGGCCTGTTTCCACACCTGCAGCAGAGGTCAGCTCAGTCCCGCCCTCACCCAGACCCAGGCCGGCTGTGCCCAGGGCTCCACGCAGCAGGTTCAGGGGGCTGGATGGAGAACACAGCCTGTGAAGCCCCGAACGCCCACTGCCTGGCCTGGTCCTTTGTGGAAAGCCTGCCAACCCTTGACCTGGAAGATGGGGTAACTGTCCCTCCCAGAGCGAACGTGGGCTCCGCGGGGTCCATCCCCAGCGTGCCCCCTGCCTGTCAGCAACCCCTGGGGGCTGTTTCAAGATTTAGGGAGAGGTGATGTGTTTGACCCATAGCACGATATCTGGTCCCCGGGGCGTGACTGGTAAACTTGAGCTACTGTCCTCCCACGATGGGACCAGGAGGACCACCGCCTGGCGAGCTCCAGGATGTTGGCTGACCTTCCAGCTAGACGGGTCTTGTTCTGGAGGACTGCCCTGGGGAGGCCATCTCGGCTGCTGTTAGCTGCAGCTTGTAAGGACGAGCTGAGCTGCCCCGGCCGGCAGCAGCCCTTCGGTGAGAGCTCCCCCATGCCCCGTGCGCCCTGGGCTGGCGGCGACAATGCCCCCGGATGTGGGCCTCCAGCCCCTGTTGCCGAGCTGCCCGCCCACCGGCCGCGGCTATTGTCTCCTGGGCCCCGGTGTGGCTCGGGGCAGGGGCCGGCAGGCAGGGGGACTGTGGGAACGGATTAGAGGCCAGGGGCCGGCTTGCGTCCCCCCTGCACCAACTCCTGATCAAAGGCATTCCTGGGATGACAGAGCCCTGTGCGCTGGGAGGCCGGCCCAGTGTGCGGGACAAACGCCCCACACAGGCGCCCCCCACCACCGACCCCCGGAGCTGGGACTGGGTTCACGGTGGGACAGCCAACCCCTGGCACATGCAGGGCCCAGAGATACAGCTGCCTGGCTTCCAGGGGGACAGGCTCGGGGTGGGGTGGAGGTGGGAGCCTGGCCCCCAGCTGTGGTCACCCAGGTCCCTGACTGTGACCTCCTCTGTAAACATGCCTGCCCAGGGACCACCCCCCGCCCCTGGCCTTAGCACACAGGCCGTGTCCCGGGGCTTACTGAGCCTCCTCAGCAGGGTCAGGAGCTGCCCAGCTCCAGGGCAGCCCCCAGCCCTGGATTCCTCGCAACACAGGGGGCCTGCCCCCCACACCTGGGTCCCGAAGGGCCTCTGCATCTCCATGCGCCCCACTGTATGCAGGCCAGGGGCGCGCCCCACCAGCCAGACGGCTGTCTTCCAGGGCTCACAGTCCAGAGCGGGGAAGCACCACGTGTGATGGTTCCTGGACCACCCAGAGTCGCCCGTCAGGGCTGGGTGGGGAATTCTCACAGAGGGTCTTTGGTCAGCCTGGGGGAGGGCAGGGGGAGGGGACTCCAGGCACAAAACTGGAGGTGGTCTAGTCATCTGGCGTGTCCTTCAGTCCTGAGGGCAGGAACTTCGGGGCTAGAGGGGGCTGGGGGAGATCGGGGCAAGGCCCCGGAGTTGGGCCCAGGTCCCAGGACCATGGATGGAGCCGGAAGGAGCTAGAAGCCCCAGTGAGGTCTGGCAGAGGGTGGAGGGGCTGGCCGAGGCAGGGAGACTGGCTGGGAGGCGGGGAGGCGCCAGGTGAGTGGCTGTGGGCCCAACTGAGACCAGGCTTCCGGAAGGGGGCGGCAGACTAACATTGGACAGCTTTGTCTCAGAAGCCCCTCTAAGGCCCACGTTTGTTTTCATGACAGGCACGGGGCAGCCAGACCGCCAGGGGATGGGGCCTTCACTGCCGTCCCAGGTGGGGACCCCTCTGGGCTGCAGCATACCCGAGGGGAGCCCACCCCGCTCAAAATATGGGCCCTGGAGGACCCTCAGCCCGGACCCTCTGTGTGCTGGGGGTCGCGCGTCTCATCCACACCGGGCCCCCGGCTTTGCCTCCCCCCCACTTGCTCCGCACACAAGGGCTGCCTCCCCATCACACCCTCCTCCTTCCACTGTCTGACCTGTCAGCCCACAAACACATCTTCCACCTGAAACCCTAGACTCCATACAACAGCCCGCAGCCCCGGCCGCCCCGGCGTCCACTGCCCCCCACCCCCTGCGCCCACAGCTTCCTGTCGATTCTCACTGGAACTTACTGCAATCACTCTTGCCTCTAGGAAGGTGTGTACTCAGTCGCGTCCGACTCTCTGTGACCCCATGGATGCAGCCAGCCAGGCTCCTCTGTCCACGGGATTCTCCAGGCAGGAAGACTGGAGTGGGTCGCCAGCTCCTTCTCCAGGGGATCTTCCCGACCCAGGGACTGAACCTGTTGCCTCCTGAGTCCCCCGTGTTGCAGGCGGGTTCTCTACCCACAGAGCTAACAGGGAAGCCCCTGCTCCCCCCGAAACTGCCCCTCAAGATCCCCCAGGCCCTGATGGTGTCAGAGCCTCGCTTGGGCCCCTCTAGGCCTGCGGTCTGGGGGGACAGACCATCGATGTCTCTGGGCCCCAGGGTACGCCCCGGGGTGAGCCACCGCAGGGGAGCAGACTGGCCCGGCCTTCAGGCGCCCCCCGCTGCAGCTCCATCCCTCGGCCTTCAGGCGCCCCCCGCTGCAGCTCCATCCCTCGGCCTTCAGGCGCCCCCCGCTGCAGCTCCATCCCTCGGCCTTCAGGCGCCCCCCGCTGCAGCTCCATCCCTCGGCCTTCAGGCGCCCCCCGCTGCAGCTCCATCCCTCGGCCTTCAGGCGCCCCCCGCTGCAGCTCCATCCCTCGGCCTTCAGGCGCCCCCCGCTGCAGCTCCATCCCTCGGCCTTCAGGCGCCCCCCGCTGCAGCTCCATCCCTCTGCCCCTGCAGTACTGACTGTTTCAGAGCACCCTCCTTGCCTCCATCCCCCAATCCAGCCGGCAAAGCAGCAATTCAAGCCCCTCCATCCCACCACCCCAGAAGCTACAGGCTCCATGGACTCATGGGGCCCCCCACCCTCACCCCTGCAGCCTGGTACACGGCAGGCGCTTCATAAGGACTGCAGAGAGCTGACCTGGTGCGTAGAGGCAGACTGGCCACGTGACCCAGGCCTGCTCCTGGCTCCTGGCTCAGTGAACGCTTGTGGGGGAGAGGGTGGACAGAGGGTACCTCAGGGACCCCCAGGCTTTGAGAAGAGGCCCCAGGCCCCGCAGGGCTGGGACCAAGATTCACATAGTATGTCCACCTGGCGGTGGGAATGTGGGCAGTTCGCAGGCCTCTGAAGCCCAGGGGCAGCCTCGCAGGTGACCAGCAGGCCTCGCAGGTGGCCAGGTCTGGGCAGAGGCCACTGGACCGCAGATTGGACACTCACATCACTCCCAAGGGCTCAGGGCCCCTTGGGGCCACGATTCACCTAGAGCAAACAGCATTTTGTGCCAGAAGAGTTAAGGAATGCCAACTTTACTTGACTATCTGCAAATAACTGGAGGGAGCGAACTGGCCAGACGTGGGCTGATCCACGGGGGACAGTACGGTCACATGACTGGGCCCCCAGCTGCTGTCTGAAGCGGTGAGGGCCGCTTGTAGGCACATCCTCCATCTCCGGGGACCCACGTGGCCCGCCCCCCACCGCAGACCTCTGGTCTGGATTCCCTCCTGTTTCTCGCCAGGGGACCGCTGACACGTCGAGGCATTCTTGGCTGTCACGACTGGACGTCCTATCACCTAGCGGGTGGAGGCCAGGGAGGTGGGCAGACACCCCGCAACACCCCACGGCGCCCGGGGCGGCCCCCACCACAAGAGGACCCGGCCCCAGTGTCCGCAGTGACCCACCTGCCACCCCGCCCCAGGAAACAGACAAGCAGGCGCCGCGCTGGGGTTTTACCAATTTTATTTCTAGACTTTTCACGTTTGTCTTGTTTCCTGCTGGAAACGTGCCGGTTACATGTCTGTGCTGGGAAACACCGTGGTGTGCGACCATAAACACACACAGACCCCCAAGCGCCCGCCTCGCCCACTTGCCAGTCCCAGGACAGACTGCCTGTGCCCCCAGACCTGCCCCCGCCTTTGGCCTCAGAGCACACACGTTCCCCCACCCCCCGCCACCGGCAGACTGTCCTGCTCGGACCCCGTTTGGTTCAGACAGAGGTGCCGCAGCCAGGAGGGTTGAGGTAAGCGCAAGCGGGTCGGCTGCAGGTGGGCGGGGGGGCTGCACCAGCCAGGGGCCTGGGGGTTGCCGCTGCCCCGCCTGGGGCCGCGGTGGACGGTGCAAGTCCTTTTGGTTCGGCAGCGTGCTTGGCGGCTCTCGGGCATACAGCCCCGTTAGCTGGCTTATCGTTGAGATCTGAAGTCTCTTTAAATGAGCAATTATTATTTTTTTTTTTTTGCTATAATGACCAGAACCACAAACAGAACACTAATATAACACACACAACACACCCCAAACCGAAGCACGGTCCGGGGGCGATTGCAATCATGCCAAATGACCAAGTCCTACAGCACAGCACCACGTGGCACATGAAGACACACTTGTTACAACAACAGCAACAATAATAATGCAGTTTTCATAGCTATACGCAAAGAACGATACAGCCGTAAAAAACCTACTGGATGGCCAATCTCAGGTGGAGAGTCCAGCATTACAGGCGCAGGGCAGAGGAAACGGACGCGGCCTGTCTCCAGAGACGCCCAGGGGTCCTCGTGAACGTGGCCGGGGGTCGGGGATCCCCACCGGGCCCCTTTTTTTGGGTTCTCGTCCACGTGTCTGTCTGCCGAAGCAGGAGGCCGTGGGTCAGACAGAGCCTGACCGCCTGGTCTGCAAATGGCTAAGTGAAGCTTGAGGTATTGTGAAACAGGAACCTTTTTGGAATAGAGCAGTAATCACATTAAGTCAAAATTGATCACATAAAAAAAAACCTACAAAAAAAAGGCATCCGTAATACATTTTTTTTTCTATGAGAAAATTCAAACTAGAACATGGCTAGTATATGACATGGTAAAACAAACAAAAAAAAAAGTCTGATACTCCAATAGCAGCAAAACAATGTGAAAGATAAAGAGAAGCAATGTGAATGTTTCCAAACTGTTCTGGGAAGTCATCGGTAGCAGCGAATAAAGAAAACGGAGCCGCAGCCTGTCCCTCGCGTGGTCCCCGCCCACCTCCCCTCTGCACACGTCCACCCTCACCTCCTCGCTCCCTTCAAACACTCCCTACAGAATAATTAAAAAAGGTACATAGCCAAGATGTGCAAATTACCTATCTGTTGCTAAGTTTCTTTTATGAAAGGAGGGGTCGGAGATCGTATTAGAACTGAACTTGTTTCCAAACATCCTACTTGTCCTTGAAACTGATGCCTCTCCAATTGGATCACTCTGGGAAACGCCAAACAGGCCAGATCAGCTAAATTCACGTCTTTGTGTTTTTCTCTCGGGACTTTCTTCCCCCCTTTCCTACAAAAGGATCTAACTTTAATAAACTGTCCTACACTTGCAACATCTAAGGCAGAAAAGTGTGTACGTGTGTGTGTGTGTGTGTGTGTAAATCAAGGGGAGATTGCATTACTTTATAAATCATACTGGCCTTACGAACACCCTCTGCAATAAATATTCTTTTTTAGCCTTAACTATAAATTATATATTTTAGTGTTTAAAAACCTTCCGTTGCAAAACATCTAAAGTTAACTCTGAAACTGCTGGTTCTCTAGGTAAACCTTTAAGGCCTCTACTTTCAAACACCAGTTGGCACTGAAGGATTCCTAAACTTCAGCTTCTCTACAGAAAAGGAAAGGAATACACCATCCTGGCAACGTGAAGAATGAATGCACACTTTCTTCTCCTCGACCAGAACCTAGCCCTCCACAGTATCACCACCCCCTCCCGCTAACACCACAGTGTCAAGCACCTGCCTTTGCGTCCTGCCTGCACCCTAGTACTGGAATATCCCCAAACCATTCCATTAGGAAACTGTTCCCCGCCCTCCACACACCACAGAAGCAGAGATGTCACCTAGAGACTCAAAGTGCTTTGAAATGGAATGGTTTTGGAATATCGAGAAAGAAAAAAAAACACAACAAAACAGAACAGCTGTAGATTTCACCTGGATATAAGCAGGCTGCAGGTCTGTTGAGTGAGAAAAAAAAAAACCAGCATCTCATAAACAGGTTAACTACAAAAATATGAAGATTATAAAAATAGAATATATTAGGTCACTATTGCAGTTTCTCTTTCTGGTAGTGGACGCGAGGAGCTGGCGGCGGCCTTCCATCACCGTGATGCAAGCCGGCGCCTGACAAACTCCTCTGATGGTCAGTCCACAGGGAGAAAGAGGATTAGCCTTTCCAAGATGCCGAGCTCTAATGCTACCCTAGCTGAGAGGTTACTTTACATCAACCATTGACAAGGTGAAGGTTACACGCCTACCTACAAAATAAAATAAACACATGACTTATAAAGTGACTACATGCGTAAGCAAGATACAGGATGCCTAGAACTGCTTTAAAGCCGTGTCCTTAAGAAAAGCACACGAGTATGCTCCCCTACCTAAAATCCTCTTCTACTTTAAAAATGGGATGTGGACTTTTTTCTATTATTTTTTTTTTAAGAAACATTTTTAAGCTTTTTTTTGTTTGTTTTAAACACATAAAGAATCAAATCTAATCCTCTCCCGCAGACTCGCTCCTTGTGTTAATGTCTATTCTTACAACACGGAGACACAAACACATGAATATCAAAGCTAGCTGATTACGGGGCATAAAATCCTGTTTTTGTAGCACAACCCTCTCCCCTCTCTCCAGCTCAGGGTTATGTAAATACTATTTTTTTTTCCTCTCCTTTTTTGTTTTTTTTTTTTTTAAAGACAGCTTTTCGGGTACTTTTTTTTCTTTTGCTTAAGTCAGAGACGGAAGGGAGAAAGAGCGAAGGAAAACGCCAGGACGGTGAGGAGGGGCCAGGCCGGGCGGCTCTGCCCTGCCCTCGCCGCGGCGCTCAGATGTTCACGTCGCGCACATCGGTGGGCGTGCAGGCCAGGTCCACCTCCTCCTCCGCCTCCTCCTCCTCGGCGGCCTTGGGGTCCAAGTTCTGCTGCTGGGCCTGGCGCAGGCTGGACTCCAGGAGGGCTTCGATCTGCTCCTGGCAGGCGCGGAGGCAGTCCTGGGAGAGGGGGGTGGGCACGGGGCTCTCAGAAGGGTCTCCACTAACCTCAAATGCTGAGGACGCTGCCCCGACCCCAGGATCCACAGTGCCGACCCTCTCTGGCCACCAGCTGCCCCCTGCCCTGGCCTGAGGAGCCCAGAGATCACCCAGGTGGTGGCGAGCCCGCTCAGGACCCAGGGGCTCCGGTGGACACAGGTGACCCTGCCCACCTGCCTGGAGCCCCCACAGAGCCCAGACCCCAGGTTCCCACTGGCCCCACTTCGGCCCCCTCAGCACATTCGGCACCATCATCTGAGCCTGGACCGGAGGCCCTCTGAGCCCCCGCTTCTTGGACTTAACCTCTGTTGTGTCAGCCCTGGAGGTGAACCCAGCCTCACATGATGAATGGCTGTCAAAAGTGTTAGGCCGTGCATGACCCAGGAGGAACGCTGGGCGGCCCTGGGGGACCTGGGTCCTTTACCGCCATCCTCTCCTGCTTGGACCTGCATCCCTGGAGATGCTCCGGCCGAGCACGGCTCCTGCCCGCCACAGACCTCCTCCTGCAGTGACCACCCCACGCGTTCAAGGGGCAGGAGGAGCCGCCCGGGGCAGATCTCCCCGCAGCTCGAAGGCACCACTGGCAGTCCCTGGCCACGGCTCCAGGGCTAAACAGAGAGGCCTCACGGGGCTTCTCTCCTAGAACCAGGAGAAGGCCTCAGGGCAGCCTAGAACCCAGACCCAAGACGTTCCCACAAAAGTGAGGCTCGGCATGGGAAGGCACCCCCAGCATCCACCTAGGTGGGGCTGGAAGCGGTGAACACTGCCCCAGAGAAGAGAAGCTGGACCAGGAGGGCTTGAGTGAACCCCTGGGGACCTCCCACAGATACAGGCATTATGGGCTGGGGAGGCTTTCCGAGACACCTTTTCAATATTCATCACGGCAAAGGAAAAAGGCATGTATGTGCACATGGCCCCATTTTACAGAGGTGGAAACTGGGCAGGGGACCCAAGACTGCCGACACCCCCCTCAGACTCCCATCCAAACACCCACCTCTGCCTCCGGAAAGCCCTCCCACTTCCCCACCATAGCAGGAAGCCCCCCTCTCCCCTCCCGGAGATAGCTCACTTGCCCCTGTAATTCGGGGGGCCGTGCAGTGGAGCTAGAGAAGAGGGGTACAGGAAGGGCCCCCCTCAGCCTCACAGCCTCATCCCGTGGAAGGCAGACGGGGCCACGCCTCCACCACCGAGAACTTTCTGGGTCTGAAGCTCAGTGCCGTTTGTCACCCGGTAACCAGACTAACGACTCCCCCACCGCCCCGTCCTTCAGCCGGGAAGCCTTTGTCTCAGGTCTAATTACAACAATCTCTATTCAACTCAGGGGTCACGCAGCCGTTTCTTACAACTGTCTGGGGACAGCACCGTCCGTGGCGTTTCTAGCCGAGGCTGACCCCTGGCAGTGAGGCCAAGATGCCCGCTCCCTCTCCATGGGGCTCCCTCTCCGAGATGCCCATGCCTCCAGACAGGAAAGCTTCCTCCTCTGGGGGTCACGCAGGCTGCAGCCAAGCGCTGCTGGCAGAGGTCAGGCGAGCGTCCACCCCACACCTCGCTCTCCTCTGCCTCCCGCCTGCTCGAGAGGGGACCACCAGCAGCCCGAGCCGGACCTGGGCCAGGGTCAAGGCGGTCACTGGCTCCCCCACGGGACCCTGCAGGGCCGGTGTGACTCCCCCCGAACCAAACCTTGCTGGTCTAATTTGGTAAATACCCCCGACCCTTGTAATTGTCACTTTAATTGTTTAGGAAAAGAATGGGGGATAAGACAATGGCACCTTTAAGGAGAAAGAGACAATGGACTCTGGCTTTCACAGAAGCAGCCTCTCAAAAGGGGCCATAAAAACAAGTTGTCTGGAGCAGGCTCACCACGGAGGAGACCTCACAGGAGCCCTTGTAAAGCGTCCATTTATCGGGCATCCACATTGTCGCCCGGACAAAGCTTGAACGGTCCCCACCCCACACGGCATTAGGGCACGGACCGTTGACCCCGCCTGCCTGTGGCCCCTCTTCTTGGATGGCTCCCCCACCCGGGAGGGGTTTAGGCTCCGGGGGCCCCCGGGGACCACCCTCCTACCCACTGACAAGTTCCGGAGTCTTTTCTCCCCAAAGGAGCCCCGCCTCCCCAACCCCGGGAAAGGGCGTGGCGTGCCCGCAGGCACTCTGCCAGGACTGCAGCCTGGCCCCGGCCGGACGCAGACAGCAGCCGGTCCGTCCATCCTCCACGCGGCCCCTGCTCCCCAGGCCCTTGACGACCTCTAGCACCCAGAGCTGGGCAGGCCCCTTGCCCACGCGGGAGTGGGTCACTCACCGGGTCACATCTGATCACCTTGGAGAGGAACCGTGTCAGGCGGTGATAGGAGAGGAAGCCGTTGGCGCCTCCCAGGTGCAGGCCCTGCACCGCGGCCACCACGCTCCCGGCGGCCACCATGGAGGGCGGGTTGGAAATGAACTTCACGTCTGTGGCAGGGGGAGACAGTACCAAAGGGGTTGAGTGGGGATGCCCCCGGACCCTGTGATCAGCACCCCCCGCCCCGGCCTGTCCTGCAGATTTCAAAGGGATGGTCAGGAAGTAGGCGAGGCTCCCCATGCCTCAGCCTTGATCATCACCCTGGGCGGCAGAGAGAGAAGTCAGCTCAGGCTCCCTAACATGGCCCGCGATGCTCATTTACAGACACCAGAAAAGCAGACCAGGAAAACCGCTGGCGGAGGCCTCTTGGCACGTAAGCCCATGAATGGGTCGTTTATTCACACAAGCATATAGAAGAAGAGTCGTAAGAAGGTGGGGCACACCCAGGAGGAGGGTGGCGTCTCTACAACGCTCACCCCAAGCACCGGGGCGGCCATCCTCCACGCGGGGAGACTTGCCCAGATGCTCACTCCATCTACCCGCCCCCAGGGACTTGGGAGGGGTGCAGCGTGACTTCATGACTGCATCCGCCTGTCCTCAGCAGCTCTCCGCACGCTGCTGGGCAAGTGTCCACCCCAGGCGGTGGGGTGGTGGTGGGGAGGCTGGCTCCCTTGGTGGCGCCTGGTCAGTCACCTGTCGGCCACTCCCTGCTGTGCTGACACCTGGCTTCCCTTCAGGGGGAACAGTGTCGTGGGAGGTGGAAAAGCCACAGGGCCTGCAGGCTACCCCTTTGTCGTTTTCGGTGAGGAATGACTGGCGGGAGGCCGCTGATTTCAGCATCTGCACAAGGCGGGGCCTCTTGGCCTGGAGTCGGGCCCTTAGGAGGTCAGTCCCCGCCGCCTCACCCTGCCCCACTGAGCTGAGTGGGAGGGGACAGGGCACAAAGGCAGTGGGACCCCCGGGGGGCACGCCCCCGCCCTGCAGCCTGGCTTGAGACTTCATTGTAAGAGCAAACATCCGGGTCTTCTTCTAGGGAGCAGGAGCCCACAGAAGGGCTGGGAGGGGAAAAGACAGCCAGCCCTGAAGGGGAGACAAAGTTGGGGCTAGGCGCTCTAATCACTTAAAAAAGAAACGCCCCTGCGAGTTGTGCACCCCCCCCCCAAAACAGGAGCAGGTCCACCCAGCCTGAGAGCATTTCATCAGGGCCCATCAGAATCTCAGACGTCGCTGTGGCCGGAGCACAGCTTCTGACTGGCCGCGCCTGGAAAGCCCCGTCCAGCAGGGAAGGGATGACACGTGTGCGCACGTCTGCAGGCACCCTGGGGGCCTTATCTGCTTAGATGAGGGTGCACAGATTTCAACCCGGAGGTTCCAACAGCTGTTCCTATTTGCTGCCCAGCCCACGGGGTCGTGAAGTCAGACGCGACTGAGCGGCCGCGACTCCAGTGGGCCACAGCCGGGGTGGGCGTCGGCACCGACCCCACTCGGGCCTGTTCTCTCAGCCTGGTGCCGTGCCAACCTCAAGGAGGCGCTGCTCACAAGAAACGCTCCACTGCGTACACACGCGGGCCAGGCGGCACTGCTGGTAAAGAATCTGCCTGTCAGAGCAGGTGATACGAGACCCAGGTTCAACCCCTGGGTCGGGAAGATTCCCCTGGAGAAGGAAACGGCAACCCACTCCAGTATTCTCGCCTGGAGACGCCCACAGACAGAGCAGCCCGGTGGGCTATGGTCCACGGGGTCGCGAAGAGTCGGACACGACTGAGCAACTTGACCGCACAGTGCGCACACGTGGACACACATCAGAAGCAGAGCGAACCCCACCCGGCGTGTGGGTGACGTGCCCCCACCCCTGGGCACCTAGTCAGGAACCTAGGTCTGCCAGACGCCCGCCCCCCTCCCCAGCACCTTTTAAGGGGACTCCTGCCATGTGGAGGGCAAAGCAACTCCTGGGACACGTACTCATGCCTCCACTTCACAAAACCAGTTTGAGGCTGTAACATGCCCTTCTCATCTTAAGAGACCCCCCTCACCCCCCGCCTTGTGACTAAAGCACACAGCTGCGCCACGTAAGTTCAACAGCTCAGGACCCGGCTGGGGGGTGCTGCTCCCCGGGCCCCCCCCCCCGATGCTGCTGCAGATGAAATGCTGAGTCACCCTGGGCCATCCCCCCACCTTCGCCCCAGGTGTGCCCAGGTATCTATGACTCCAGGCCAGGGGCGCTGGCTGGGCCGGTTCTCAGACAGCTGCCAGAGCGCGGGCACCGCACACAGGCATGGCCTCTGTGCCCAGCTTCTGCGCTGTCTGCACCCCACCCAGGTCACACACCCCGCTTCCCAGGGTCCCGGGAGCTGGGGGGAGGGGCTCCGGGCTGTCCCAGCTATCCTTGGGGGAGTGCGTGCAAGAACCGTTCCTTGCATTATCTGCGGGAAACTTGGTCATTTCTCTGAACCGCTTTCAGCTCCATAAAAGGCTGCCTGCAAATCTCTGGAGGCTTCTCTTCTCAGAGGCGTCCCAGCCAGAGAATGCCTCCCTGCCCGGCTGGGCTGGTCCCTGGAGGCCGGGGAGACACGCGTGAGAGCCCCGCCTTCCACACGGTCCCTGCCCAAGGGCGGGTGCTGCGGGGCAGGAAAGCCAGGGGAGGGGGTACCCTCCCCCCTCAGATTCATCCAAGCTGAGATGTTTTGGGCCTCTCATCTGCCCCCACCCCACAGCTCACTTGGCAGGACTTCTGAGGTGTCCTTCTTAGAGGACTTCACGCCTTGAGCAGGCAGAAGAAGGGGGCAGCAGAATCTCTCCACCTCCCCTAACCTGGAAACCTCAGCCACCACTAGAGCCCCTGGACACGGACAGGGTGACATCAGATGGCGCGCGGGGGACCCCACCCCTTCTGGGGAGGGGGTGAAAGATGTCAACCCCTCTTTGGTGCAGCGTGGTCCTCAGGTTGCTCAGAGGGAGCCCCAAACAGGTCTGACTGCTGAGGCCTGGTGAGGGGGAGAGACGGCCTGCAGAAGAGCTGGGCAGGATGGGGCATGGGTGCCTGGTCAGGGTCCCCAGGGGTCCTGGGCCCAGATCATGGGATCTGAGGGAGGAAGGGGTCACAGGGCTCATGGAGCAGGTCTGGGAGAAGCAGGAGGCAGCACGTGTGTCTCCCTGGGTTCTGAGTGACTGGCCGCCTGGGGGCTGGGAAGAGGGCCCTGCCAGGGAGGGTCCCCCAGGGACGGCCCAGAGGGTGCCAGGGGAGTGGGGTGGGGGGAGGGCTCCTGCTGCCAACCGCAGCGGCCTGAGCCCAGGCGCTCTGAAGCCGCTCCCAGGGAGAGCAAGGAGCGGGAGCCGGCCTGCGGTGCCCCTGGCGGGGCCTCAGGCAGCCAAGCGCCTCTGCTGGCCGCCCCCGCGCAAGGGCCGCGGCCGGCGGCCCAGAGCACGTGGTCCAGGCACTGCCGGCCGGCGCTCCCCACCCCTGGAGGCGCCCCTGGCAAGGGGCCCAGTCCGGGAGAGGCCAGGAGGGGGCCCCCGCAGCTCAGGCTCCTTGAGGACATAGGAAGAACGGGTTGGGGGGGGGATGGTGGGGGGGTGGAGGCAGGCTGGACAGCCGAGGTAGACCCCTTTCCGCATGGAGTGACCCCTGCCGCCGTGGGGAGCAGAAGCTACAGCAGCTGGCCACAGGCAGACTGGCCACCCGCCCCTGCGGCCACAGGCACTGGGTGGTAACAGACCAGCCTCTGCTCTCCCCGCCCAGGAGGCGACGCCCCCTCCCTGGAGTCCTTAAAAGCAGCCCAGCCCTCTCTGCTCCCCAGAACAGGGGACAGAGGAGTGCTTCCAAGAGCGGGAGGGGCGCGGGGACCATCTCCTCCAACGGGGAAACTGAGGCAGGGGCCACGCAGCTCCTCCTGGGCACAGCGGCGGGGGCCAGCACCCTACCTGTGGCACAGAGGGCAACGAAGGTCTGCGCGTGTTTGCGGATGATCTGCTTGTTCTCCTCGGCCACCGGCATTTTGGAGAGGAAGTGTTCAATGAAATCGTGCGGGGTCATGGCTGCCAGATTCCACTTGAGTTTGTTCACCAGGACCAGCTCCATGTGCTGTGGACCCGGGGGAAAACGTGCGTCAAGAGAGGCGCAGGAGCGGACCATAGTGGAGCAGGGGGCGAGGAGAGGGGACGGGGGTCGCTGGAGGGTCCGGGAAGTGAGGGGGACAGCGGGCGCCCCCACATTATGAGCAGGGACGGTGCTGCTCGCCAAGGGTCCTGCCCTAAATGCAGCCCACCCTGGGCCAGCGGAGACCAGAAGCCCGCCCACACCTGGAACGCGGGGCCGGGTCAACCGCGCGGGCGCCGCCCCGCCGCCGCCGCTGGAGGGCGCGCGCCCCCAACTTTTCGCAGCGCTGGGGGTGCAGAGGCGGTGGGAGTCGGAGAGAAAGCGAGGGGGGCGGGGGCGCGGCTGCGGGGCGCTGCGGGTCCCCACCGCTTTTCAAGCGGGGCCCCACCCATGCGGCCGCCTTCCTTGGGGGCCGAGGGTCTCTCAGCGGCCCGCCGGGGATCCCCACGCCTCCCCCACCCCAGGGTCCCGCGGCTAACGGGGCGTCCGCGACCCGTGGCGGGGGTCCCCGGGTTACCAGCAGCTCGTCGGGCCGGATGGAGTTGTCAGTGTAGATGCACAGCTTCTCGGCCGTCAGGGGGATGGTCTCCTTCATCTTTGAGGCCACGAACATGCAGGTGGCCCCCAGCAGCTGCAGGCGGCTCTTTTTCACGGGCTCCAGCGACAGGAAGCGGTCCAGGTAGTTCATGGCCAGCGGGAAGACCTCCTCCTCGCACTTCTGCTCCTCGCAGACCTGCGGGGGACACCGGGGGCCGTGACCGCCGCCACCGCAGGGAGCGCCCGGCCCCCTCTGCAGAGACCTCGCGCCCCCCCGACCCGCCTCGCGCCAGGGCGGCTGGACTGCGGGGTCCCCGAGCGCGCGGAGGGTCGGGGCAGGGGGGCGGCAGAAGCCGCCCGCTGCCGCGCCCCCCTTCCCCGGGAGTCCCCAATACCCACCCACCCCGAAACTGAAAGGGAAAGTCCCAGCTAGGCTGGCACAGTGGGGGCGGGAGCGGGCACGGCTGGGCGGCGTGTGCCGCTCGCGGGCTGTAGGCCCCGGGGACCCCGGCCCTCGTGGGTGCTTCGGGAGCTGCCAGACCTGGGGTCGGCACCAAATGGGGCGCAGGGCCGCGGGGAGGGCCGCGGGGCTGGGCGCCGCGCTCGCAGCGCCTGCGAGACACAAAGGTGGCGTCCCAGGCCGCCGCGCCGCATTTCCCCAGACGTCATCTTTTCAAAAAATATTTAAAAATATAAAAAAATTTAGTGGGTACATAAAAAACCCCTGAAAATGACCCTCAGACTGTCCTTTACCCAGGCCGGGAGTCAGGAGCTCGTTGCGGGCTTAGGGGGGAGCCCCAGGAATTCAAACTCGGGGGGCCCCCCTTCCCCCTGGGCGCGGGCGCCGTTTCCCTCTCGCAAGGGCACCACGCCGCACTTTCAAAAATTATTTTAAAATACTTGCGGTGACCCGGGGAGCTCCCTGAAGGCCCGAAAACGTGCCCCTGGCCCCCAGCTCGCTCCAGACAGGTCCCCCAAGCTGAGACCCCAGCAAATGAGGGTCCATTCCCAGCGTCTTGGGGGCCACGCGACCTTGCAGCCCGGCGTGCTCTCCGGCCCAAGCTGGCCTTGCGGGACGCCCCGGGACCCATTGCTTGAACAAAGGCGCCCCTTTCCCGAGAGGGGTCCCCCCACAACTACCCGAGCTCTGTCCCCGCGCCCCTCCCGTTGGTTCCCTGTGGCGGCGCGGCCCCTCGCGGCGGCCCCAAGCGCCTGGCCGGCCGCTCCCCGCCCCCACTCTGCCCCCAATTATTAATAAACACTTTGCTTTGCAATAAAAGAACAAAGATGGCGCATAATACTGGCACGAGCGGCCCTTGCATACGTGTCCATGGATATTAATTTAAAAATCAAATCTTTGCCCCCTCCCCCTGGAGCTGGCGGCTCAGCAGCCGCGCGGCCGCAAGAGGAGGCTCAGCGGGGCTGCGCGGTGGCGTTGCCGGCGGGGGCCACAAAGGACGCCCAGCCTGCGGGCCCGCACCCTGAAGCCACCTGGGGTGCCCGGGCAGTGGCTTTCCCCCAGGGTACCCCTCCTCGACCGCCGCCGCCTCCCTCCCCCTGCCACGAAAGGAATTATCTAACGACCCCACCCCCACCCCCTCCTTATTAAAAAAAATACCCTGAATATCTATATATTTTGGAACTACGATTCCTAGCAACACTCTGGCAAACTTCAAAGTTCGGGTGGGAGAGAAGGGAGGGAGATGAGTGGCAAAGAAAAGTGGGTTTGCGCAACAAGTCGCAGGGAAGTGCTAAGAGAGCCGACCGGAGCCCCGCACCTCTAGCATCCAGGTGGCCACGATCTTGCGCATGGACGGCAGGATCTCCTTCTGCACACACTTGAAGTAGGACACCGAGGGCGCGCAGGTCTCCTCCGCCTTGAGCATGGCCCGCAGCACCCGGTCGTTGAGGAGGTTGGCATCGGGGTACGCCCGGCGGATGGTCTCCATCTCGCAGCACAGGAGCTGGTGTGCCATGGCTGGGGGCTCGGCTAGGTGGCCTGGGGGCGGCGGTGGGTCCGGGGCTGGGTCGGCGCTCGGCTCGGGCTCCTGCTGCCCCGCGCTCCCTCGAGCTCGTCTGCCCCTCGCCGGAGCGCGCGGACGCTGCTGCTCGCTGCTACTGCGCCGACAGCCCTCTGGAGGCTCTAGGACTTTGCAACTTCCAACAAAACTCCCCTGTAGTCCGTGTGACGTTACTGTTGTTAAGCAGAGATCAAAGCCGGGCAGAGAATGGGAGCGGGAAGGAGGGGGGCCGGGCGCAGGGGGAGGGGGCGCGGGCGCCGAGCGCCGGGGAGCGGCGAGGGGCAGAGCCCAAAAGCCATCCCGGAGGCGCCGCGCCTGCACCGCGCGGTGTTGCCCCCGAAGCCGGGTTTTCATAGAAATGCAAACCGTCCTAAGGCTGCCTTTATCCCCGCCGGGGAAGAGGGGTGCAGGAGCGGGGGTTGGGGGGGGTCTGTCCTCCCCGAGTGGGTCCCGCAGGATTTGGGGGGTTGGGTGAAGGTGGCTCTGCAGAGGGGGCCAACTAGGAGGGCGGGCAGGCCACACGCAGCTGGGGGAGACCGCGTGGAGGGGGGACGCTGGAGTTCGGTGACACTCTGAGCCGGGAGAATGGGCGCATTTCCGAGAACGCCACGAGGGCACCCACGGGCGGAGGCAGCCAAGGAATCTTAGCGTCTACATCTTCTTTCATTTTCATTAACACGTGTAAATTTCAGGAACCATTTACCATTCAGGGACTCAGGGAAGAGCCGACAACGCCGGTGGAGGTTTCATTCCCGCACCGAGGGGGGTCTGTGCAAATGCCGGAGGGGTAACCCCAAAAGTTAAAGGGCTTTCAGCCTAACATGAGCTCGCTCAAAAAATAAAATAAAATAAATGCCCGAAAATTCCAGCAGCAGCCCAAGATGGTGGCCAGCATTTCCTTTGCCCTGTCCTCCTCTCCTGGGGGATCTGCGCGCTGTCTTCCTACCTTAGCTAGTCCATTCTTGCGGGGGCCCCCAACCCTTCCCCCCCGCCCCCGCCCTCGCCCTGTGCCGGCAATTTTAACAGCTAGAAAAACACTCTGAAAGGAAGGCTGCAAAATAGTGGTCTCTGTCCTGTCTCATTTTTTTAATTAAAAATTAAGCTAAATCGCTGGAAATATTAGTCGCCTCTCCGCCTGGGACAAGACCACCGGAAACTTCCTAATTGGCTTCGTTGGGGGTGTGGACCGCTCTTCACCTTTAGAATTTGCCCAAGGGCTGCATTCGTGAGCCTGAGGCTGTTGGCGGGGGTCTGGCAACAATCAGAACAATTACAAGTTAAAGAAATAGGTGTATTGATCTGATGATTTAAACAAAACCTATATATGTTCGTGGCTATACGCGAGTCCCCAATATTAATCGCAAACTTATAAGACATATAAAAGAATATAGTTTTTTAAAATGAAGAGATTCAGTCTCTTTGGTGCTTATTTTTTAAAATAAAAGGACATCTTACCCAGTCTTAACATTTTTTTTTTAATTTTTACTCTACCTGTCCCAAATTAAGAAAACTGTTCATTAACTTCCCTCTGAATATAGTCTAGTGTCATCAAACCATCTGATACCCTAACGTTAAAGGCTCAAAGAAAACGGATTAAAAAGCCCCCCTCCCCTTCGCAAGGGCGCACACAACAGGACAAGACCCCCTCACTTTTCAGAGCTGATTCTTCCCGCGCCCCTCCCCCGCCGAGAATCAGGGTTACTAATATTCCGGGTCCAGGAGGGTAATTACCCTGGGCTCACGCCTCGGGAGGAGCGGATGGCAAGACAAGGGAGCGCCCACCGCCGTGTTCCCCTCCCTGGGCACCCAGGCTCGCGTTGGCCCCCGGCACGCGGGAGCCTCGGAGCATCAGCCCGTGCACGAGGGCGGCAGGGTTGCTTTTCATTCATAAAATCCCGACCCGGCGGCCGCCGGGATGATTTATGGGGCTGCGCGCTACCACCGGGTTGCTTCTGTCCCGGAGGGCGGGAGGCGAAGGGGCCCGAGCCCCGCGTGTGCCCGGACCCGGGCCCGAGGCGGGCTGGCCACGGCGAGGGGCAGCGGGTCGTAAAGAGGATCGCCACTCCGGCGGGACGGACTCCAGGTCCAGGAGGGAGCTTCCCCCTAACCCCGGAGAAAGACGGAGGAAACTGGAATTAGCATGAGCCAATGGGGGCGCGGCGCTGTTACTAGGCGGGCCGGGCAGATCTAGACGAGGAACTTCGTTGATTTCCCCGCTCAGGGACGGGCGCAAAAGTGCAAGCCCGGCTGCCGAGCGTGAAGAGCCGTCCAGGAACCCGCAGGGGGAGGCGCTGGAATTTGGTGCCCGGTGGGGAGAGCCCGCCGCCCAGCCCCCACCCCGGGGAGCCCAGATCCGCGTTCCCTGGAGAACCGGGGTGGGGGTGGGGTGGTGGCAACAGCTTCGGGCCTTTAAGAAAGGCTGCTTATAGAAGAGCAGGGGACGCGTTTTATTTTAATTTTTTTTTTGAGAGAGAGAAAAGCAACTTTTAAAAACTTCACTGCTCAAGGTTTAATTTTGCACGGCCTTGATAAAACCCACCACGAAGCAGGAACTACAAGTTCTGGGCTCATTGAGAGTGCTCTGTGCTATTTCTTGGTGACCCTTTGAAACAAAGGGCCAGTGGCTCAACGGGAAACCAAGCTGGTCGGGAAGAAAATGCAAAAGTCACTTAGGTCGCCTTCTCGCTTTCCTCGCCCCCTGGTCCCCTCGCCGAAATTACCGCAAGCCGGGAGGGACGCCGGCCCCGAGAGGGCCAATTCCGCGGCGGGCGCCTTCGCCACCGTCCCTGGCTGTGGGAACCTTCATTCACGGCGGGGGAAGGGAGCGCGTTCATTCAGGATACAGCGCGCCGCAGCGCCGACTCCGGGACGCACCGCGGCTGCGCGCCGCCGGGCCGGGGGGCTCTGGGGAGGGGGTGCAGGGCCCAGCGGAGACCTTCTCCCGGCCGTAGAACTCCGGCCCCCGCCCTCCCCGGAGAGGACTGGTTGGCGGGCGGGCGCGTGCAGGTGGGGTCACCTGCAGCCGCATACCTGGCGGCGACTTGAAAGGACTTGGCTCCAGCTCTGCGAGTTTTCCATTGTTAAGCCCTTAAGTCGTTCTGGAAAACGCTTCCGAGTGCGGGCCGCGGGGTTCCGGAGGCTTCACTTCCCCCACAAAGAGCTCACTTTTAGGGGGCGCGTACGGCGGTCCACGTGCTGAGACAGCTCCGCCAGGGATACGCGGTGCGGATCCCCTGCGCCCCAAAGCTGCGGAACAAGCCGGAGCCAACCAACTCCTGCCCCAGGGCCCACCCGGACAATCACTGGCTGGGAACTGGGGCAGCCTCGCCTCCCACCGCCCCAAGCTGTCGGGCAGGTAGCGGGGGACGGGACCACCGTCCCTCAGCCCGTAAGGGCTTATTAAGGGAGCTAAAAGCAAACCCCAACAGGTTGGGGGGCGGGGCCCGGTTCCCTCAAAGCCTCTGGGATCCCAAGGGAGAAGGTGCACGCTCAGAGATGAAAGGAGATTCGAACTCCTTGACCTCTGCCCCTCAAAACGCACCGCCTGCTGCCCTGAGCAATACGAACCCCCAAAGTTCACCAGAATTGCCTGGCCTCTAGGCTCAGGCCCCCTGGCCGGTCTCTAACCAATGGCCGCGGAGCGGGCGCCGCGGCAGATTTAGACAGGTAACCACCTCCCGCCAAGGCTAAGGAATTGGGCGGCAGGTGGGGATAACGACCTAGGAGGCCATACCCCTCCCGCGTCTCCCTCGGCCAAGCCTGCCCGCGGCTGACCAGGACACCACTCCACGCCCCCTCGCCCCCTCCTCCGCCCCGCGTCCCGGACGCCCAACCTCCGCCCAGAGAGAGACCCACGAGGTGTCGGAAAACTTCCGCTGGAAGGAGCCTCTCTAAGACCCCCGCGGGCTCCCGCGGCACCCCTTCCGCCTCCTTCAGGACTTGTCATGAGCGCCCCTGTCCTCGTCTTTTCCGAAGAGTGACCGCGTGGAGGACCCCCTGTACTCGAGCCTTCCAGCCTGCTTCTTTGTGCCGTGGAAACGCCCTGCAAACGTTCCCATCCTTCGAATTGGCCCTGGGGAAGGGCTGGGGGGTGCCGGGGCTCCAGGGCCGCGCCGCGCATTCCGCGCATTCCCGCCCGGCCTCGGCTCCGCCGCCACGTGGTCGCGGCGCGCGCCGTGCTTACCGTAAAGTTCAGAAGAGAGGCGCACACCGCCCCCAGCTTGGGCGCGCCTGCGGACCTCCCAGGGTGAATCGTGACCTGCCCAGTCTGTCCGGGTGAATAGCCAGAGGTTGCTCCTTTTTACATAACAAGGAACGTACAGCTGAAGTTGTGACACATCTATTAGTAGGTCCCACTGGTATGTCAGGAGGATGACTGTCCATCTCAGGAACGTCACCGAACCGGACCATTGACCATTCTGCTTTCACAGCGGTGAGAGCTTAGTGGAGGACTTGCAGCAGGCGGAGGAGGGTTTTCTTCTTTTTCTGACTATTTCAAATCAGTTGGTGGCTCAACCCAATATCCCAGTGAGGCTGGGAAACCGAACCTATGACGTCCTTAGCGCATAGGGAACATCCATAAAGCTGCCTGTATTTAGCTGCTCAGTAGTATCGGACTCTTTGTGACCCCATGGACCGTAGCCTGTCAGGCTCCTGGGTCCATGGGATTCTAAAGGCAAGAATGCTGGAATGGGTTGCCATTTCCTCTTCCAGGGAAATCTTCCTGACCCAGGGATCAAACCCTCATTTCCCTTATCTCCTGCATTGCAGGCCGATTCTTTACCCGCTGCACCGTCAGTGCCTGCATGCTCAGTCGTTTCAGGCATGTCCGACTCTGCGACTCCCATGGACTGTAGCCCGCCAGGCTCCTCTGTCCATGGGATTCTCCAGGCAAGAATGCTGGAGTGGGTTGCTGCCTATATTATTAAAAAAAAAAAAAATGCTGAGGGTTCTTTTTCTGAGAACCAGGATAATGATCTACTTTTCAAAAATTCATGCAAAACCAAACCACCTTTACAGGGTGCCAGGAAGTTTGAAAGCGTGTCTGTGAGGTTGCGGAAGAGTATCACACACAGACCTGGATCAGCCAGTAGCTGTGCAACCGGGCAAATCTC